ACCGGAACCCCCGGGGAGTGTATTGGGCCTATTGGGCCCTTAGTGGAGAAGAGGAGGGGCGGCCAGGGCAGTCGTGCGCCCCCTCCCCCTCTAGTCCAAATTGGAAAAGGAGGGGGCGGCGCCCCCCTTTCCTTTCCCTCTCTCCTCTTTCCTTCCCTCCTACTCCTCCTCTTGGAAGGGGGGAATCCTACTTCCGGTGGGAGTAGGACTCCTCCAGGGCGCGCCATGAGAGGGCCGGCCCTCCCCCCCCCCCTCCTCCACTCCTTTACATACAGGGGAGGGGGCACCCCATAAACACACAAGTTGATCATTGATCTTTTAGCCGTGTGCGGTGCACCCCTCCACCATAATCCACCTCGGTCATACCGTAGCGGTGCTTAGGCGAAGCCCTGCGTCGGTAGCTTCATCATCACCGTCATCACGCCGTCGTGCTGACGAAACTCTCCCTCGACACTTTGCTGGACCGGAGTTCGTGGGACGTCACCGAGCTGAACTCGGAGGTGCCGTGTGTTCGGTACTTGGACCGGTTGGATCGTGAAGATGTACGACTACATCAACCGCGTTGTCATAACGCTTCTGCTTACAGTCTATGAGGGTACGTGGACGACACTCTCCCCTCTCGTTGCTATGCATCGCCATGATCTTGCGTGTGCGTAGGATTTTTTTGAAATTACTACGTTCCCCAACAGACCTGGCGGAGCAGGAGCCGCTGCTTGAGTCCTACCACTCCGGCCGTGAGATCCGCCTCTCCAGCTGGCGGTACTACCAATGGGTGGCGGAGGTGATGGCCGCCTACAAGGAGTGCGACAACGTGGGCGAGGCGGTGTTCGATGAGACCGACGACAAGGAGGAGGACATCGCTAAGGCCACGCCCTGCCGCGACGACCACAAATTCGGCATGTCCGCGGGCGCCGCCGACAGCAAGGAAGAATAGTGCATAGCAGGTCGCCATCGCTCTGGTCCCAGGAAGGCCACCGCTACTCCCTTCCCATCGACACCAAGCTTGGTCAGCTCAGCATCGACGGCCGATTAGTAATTTGGCAGCGATGTGGAGGCGAACAGCTTCACTTCCTGGGTCTCCTGGGGCGGAGGTTATGGAGGTGGAGCTGGAGAGCGCCGAGGCGGAACTGTAGAAGACGAAACTTCAGTTCTTGGGGCTTATGGTCGTTCACGTAGGTAGGAATATTCCATATTGGTTTTTTCTGGGTTTTCTATTTTTTTTACTGTTTCCTTTTTTCTACTTCGTTTACAAGTTTATTATCTTTCAAAAAAATCCGACAACTCCAAAAATGTACGTGCTTTCAAAATTGTTTATGACTTTCAATTTTTGTTTGGAAAATTCAAATTTTGTTCAGAAAATCAGGAAATTTTCTAGTTTTAAAAACTGTATGGATTTATTAATTTGTTCTAGAACTTACAGAAAATGTTCAAGCTTTTAAAATTTTGTTTGGATATTTCAAATTTTATTTGGGGCTTTAAAAAATATTCGCAAATTTCATTTTTTTTCCAAAATTTCAAAATATGTTCTCAATATCAGACAATATTCAAGATTGTTATAAAAACTAACTAAAAGAGATAGGAAAAAAATAGAATCGCTACATTCATTTTTGAGAATAAACCGAATCCCAAATAGTGTTGTCGCTACAGTTCCTTGCTGATAGGCCAGCCCATTCGATAAGACCTATGCGAAAGGACTAATGAATTTTTTTTGTTCCAATGAAATTATGAATCACATGTCCTCAATGTATATGTAAAGTTTCATTAAATAATACAATAATTTATAGTCTACACAAACACATAGATAAAATTCTGACCATAAATACAAAAAATAAAAGTCCTTTTATAGAGTAAAGAGAGGAGCCCCGACCCACCTCTAACTAATGGAACCTTGTCTTCCGAGTGAAAACCCAGATTTTGTTTACTGGATTAGATGGCGACGGTGTTTACTTGGCGTCGTTTATCCTTCTTGGAGGCGCCATTTTTGGAGACGAGGTCCTGTTGGCGCTTTTTTGCGGGACTTCCAATCTATTCATCTTCAATTATGGTAGCACAACGTACACTAAATATAATAAAACTACACCCAGATCCGTAGACCACCTAGCGACGACTACAAGCATTGAAGCGAGCCGAAGGCGCACTGTTGTCATCGCCCCTCCCTCGCCAGAGGCGGGCAAACCTTGTTGTAGTAGACAGTCGGGAAGTTGTCGTGCTAAGACTCCATAGAACCAACGCACCAGAACAACAACCGTCATAGATGAAAAGTGTAGATCAAAAGGATCCAACCTGAAGACACACGAACGAAGACGAACGACTAACAGATCCGAGCAAATCCGCCAAAGACAGATACGCTCGAGACACACCTCCACACGCCCACCGATAATGCTAGACGCATCACCGGAACGGGGGCTAGGCGGGAGACCTTTATTTCATCTTCAGGGAGCCGTCGCCGTCTCGCCTTCCTGAGCAGGACACAAACCCTAATTAACATAGCTCGAAAAAAGATCTAAAATTAGAGCCCTCCCACCGGTAAGGGGCAAGATCCACTCCGCCTCCATGGTCCTAAGGCCACCGGAGACGGGACGGACCGACGCCGGTGCCGGCGGGAGGCAGAGTACCCTAGCTTTTTGGAGGCGACTGGCTAGGTCAAGAGGCATAGCTCAAAAGGCTAAGGTCTTGTTGGCGCTTGTGGCTTTTGTCTTTCCAGTGGGATGTTGGTGTGGTGGATGATGGGGCGATAGCTACTGGAGGATTTACGCCGAGGCGGCAGCTACGGATGACAATGCACCTGCGACACTATGGGGTTGGTCAGCGACTTTGCACGACATGGGTGGCGACCTGGTGCTACGAGGGTAGTGAGTTCGTTGGCTCTATCGAGGCGATCTGATGGGTCGGCCTAGCTGGAAGTCAAGGTGTCGGCCACGGATATTTGGTGGAGCGTTCATTGTCTATGGGTGGTCTTCTCGTGTAGCAAGGGCTACAAGGCGCCCGAGCCGTGCGGCGCTACGGCTCGCATGTAGGCAGGGGATGTTGGAGCTGCGGCTCCAGAGCCGAGGGTGTGTGTTTGTTGCGGTTGTGACCTTGGGTCATGTGGTTGATGATGTTTTGTTGCTTGTGTGATTTTCGGTTTGGTTTTCCTCGTAAACTGGGTGCAATGTACCCAAACTGCTTATGTATAGACACTTATTTGTGAGCTTTATATTTAGTAGTTCGGCTGGTATCCATACCCACTTTTTTCAAATATTTGTTCACAAATTCAAAAAATGTTCACGAATGTCAAAAAAGGTTCACATTTTTGTCCCCTCTTTCAAACTCGTCCACAAATTAAAAGTTTGGTCCCGTTTAGAAGTAAAAAAATGTTCCCATCTTCAGAATTTGTTCACAAATGCAAGAAAATGTTCCTTATTAAAATGTATTCAAAAATTGAAGCGTTGTTCACATATTTCACAAAGAAAAACATCATGTTTGTCAAATAATAATTGAATTTAAAAAGAATTCTTTTGAATTTCAAGAAATGTTTTGAACAAAGTCAATTAATATTCTGATCTGCCCCTACATTTACGTCTTAAAATGTTCGTGCGGGTTTAAAGAGAGAGAAACGCCATAGAATTGACCACGTTCAAATGTGTTACGGTTGTGTGAGCATATAGATGATCACCAGCTAGGGTGAAATGGAGGATAACCGGCAATACAAATGTGGTGCCCTGTTAAAATAAATGACGTGGACCAATAACTATTGGGGTCTTTGAGTCATGGTTATTGAATTAAAGAGTGTTAATTTTTTTTCTCCAGTTGCAACATACGGGCTCTTTTGCATAATACAAAATGCCATAAAATTAGGTACGACCCTGGCTGATGAGGTGGGTCAGTAGTTACAACACCACCACGGATTACCCCGCAAAAAAAAACACCACCACGGATTGCTAGTTTCGGCCCACCTCAGATTACCCAACTGGACGGAGTACCGTTTTTCAGAGAACCGGCTGTGGGCCTGGGATTTGAATTTTTTTTAGTGCTGTTAAATGTTTTGGAAAAACATTTTTTGGCAAATACCTATACATATTCTCAACATGTATGCAAAGTTTAATTTGATAATTTGTATGTTGATAGAATTTTGTATACTTTTTACTCCCTCTCTCTCAGTTTACAGGACGTGCGCGTACCACTAGGTTGTCAATTTGACCAACCTAATACAAGTCATATATTATAAAAAATATACCAATATAAACTTCAGATGTTCTATTTTCAAATTGTCTAATTTTTGTGTTATATAATTTATATTAGGTGATAAAATTGACAACCTAGGTATATGCATAGGACTTGTAAACTGAAACGGAGGAAGTAGCATAATTTAGGTGTATATAAGAAACAATATTGTTGGTAAACATAAAGGGCCACCTGAGCCCCGGTCTCCGGACCTAGTTCTGGCAAGTGGACTCAGGTATCAAAAGTATATTCTGAGCAGAGCCCAATTGGAATAATTGCTTATATTATTTTTAAGAAAAGATGACAGAAAAGTATATTCTGAGCAGAGCCCAATTGGAATAATTGCTTATATTATTTTTAAGAAAAGATGACAGAAATGTTATTCAATTCACGCAAAGCAGTAGCACAAATCACAAAGTGGAAAAGTCCACGCGATGGCGAGAGGTGCCATCCCCATGCCACCTTAAATAAATACTTCCTCCGTTCCGAATTACTTGTCTTAGATTTGTCTAGATACGGAGGTATCTAGCACTAAAATGAGTCTAGATACATCCGTATCTAGACAAATCCAAGACAAGTAATTCGGAACGGAGGGAGTACTTCTTAGTGACTAGGCTATGCTGAAGATTCAACATTAATCCGGGTGGTTGCCTCTCTTCGCCTCCGTGGAGATGCTCTTGATCACAGTCATCTGTCGTGGATGAAATTAGCCAGCTGCAGCTCCACGTACGAAGATCATTTCTTTTAGAAACAACACGACGGTCTCCACGTGCGAAGATCATTCATCTTGGGAGCTACTACTTCTTGCCGGCAGTTATCTTGGACGACGACGATGAGGACTTGGAGGAGCGCGCGTAGGCGTAGGCGTCCGGTTTGAGGAACAGCTCCTCGAACTGCTTGTGCAGGTCCTCCAGGCTCTCGCTCTCGCCGTCTTCCTGCATGGCATGGCATGGCATGGTGGTGAACAATAAATAAGTAGCGCTCTGCTGGGTAAAAACCTCCATGATATGATATCAATAAGCAGAGCAGCGGTCCCGTACGTGTGGAGGTGTGTGGTTCATGGCCTCCAGGATGTCTCCCAATATTTCTCCTGCACCCTGCGTAATTGATGAAAATCTCACCGGCAATATAATGGAGCTAGGGACGGACGTCGGTATATTATAGTAGTATATATATAAGGACTGTTGAAGGAAGAAGAGACATAAACACACCTCGTCATCGCCATCGCCATCGCTGTCGTAGGCTCCAACGTCGTAGAGGATACGCTTGTTGGGGTCCGACAGAACTGCATGCATGTTCATCAAACCACGTCACCCTCTCTCTACGCTCTCGCCGTCTCTTTCTCGTGGGTACGTGCATAAAATACATAGAGCCACAAGGGAACACGTATACTGCAGCAAAGCCTCGCATTCTATACGGGAAGAAGCTCAACGTTGGAATTGAACAGACGTCCAGAGGAAGAGGAAGATGAACTTACCAGCGTATGCTGCCTGGATCTTCTGGAACCTGGCCTTGGCGGCCTCCGAGCCGCCGGAGCTGCCGCTGCCGCACTTGTCCGGGTGCCATTTCTGTAACCCAGCACATTTATTTATCCAATTTAACCCGACAGTACGTCAAACAGAGGAGCCAAAAAACAGAGAAAAAAATATCATCTAGCATAGCAGAACAGAGGAGAGCAGAGCATATATAGGAGAGCAGAGGAGGAAAGAAGTCGACGAACGGACCATGGCCAGCTTCCTGTAGGCGCTGCGCAGCTCCGCGTCGGAGCAGTTGCTCGCAACGCCGAGCACGGCGTACAGGCCAACGCCGGCATCGCTCTTCTCTCCGCAGCCGGCCATTGCAAACCCTGGATGCTCAGTGCCTGCTTGTGTTGTGTGGGTGTGCCTCTCTCTCTCTCTCTCTCTCTCTCTCTCTCGCGGTTGCCTGCTGCAGCTAGCGCATGGCGGCTATCTTATAGGCACGACGAGGCAAGGGTGGCAGGTCGCCGACGGCGGGGGCCGGGGGGATGTATGTCTGTGTCTATGTCACCGTCCCGTCCGCCTCCTCACTTG